TTAATTTTTATTATTAATTTATTCATTTTTTTTAACTCTCTGACGTTTGCAAGCTTCACAGAAAAAGACAGGTGAGGATTTGTCTGTGGAAGGATTCATCCACAAACCCGAGGACTAAGATTGGAGGGGGGGGGGAACTCCTGAGATCAGCATGAATCCAAACACACTGAATTCCAAAACTCTGCAAAATGTGTCTGCACTGCAGTTTAATACCACTGTAACTGACAAGGCTCTGTCTTTAAAAAAAAAAAAACCTGGGATCTGTCGTTTGGTGAGTGGTGCAAAATTCACCCTCGGAGGTCCAGTTTCATCACACCAAATCCAGGGGGAAATAAATTGGGGAGGAATTTCAAGAATTATGCTTAATCTCAGCCTCTCTGAGATTCACACCATCCTTTTCTCACCCTCTGAGGTAGGACTGGTGCTAAACATTTAAAAGCCAGTTGCCCTAACCATTCCAGAAGGCACCCTTTCCAGGAAAAGCCGCCCCGGAAGGCGCGCGGAGCAGCTCCACTGGCTGTAGACATTAATCATTATAATTAGCATTTCTGAACTTCAAAGAGCTTTGCCAGCTTTAGGGAGGAATCCTCTTAAATATGAGGGAGAAGCAAAGGGATACGGAAACCAATATGTTTTATAAAAGCTAGGAGAAGATAAGGTGGCAGACTTGAAACGAGAACAAGAATAAAATAACCCGCAGAAGGACAATGGGACGGCTAGACGTTATCCCTAGAATGAGACACAGCCCTGATACAAACAGGCTAAAGCGCTAGGGTTGTTGATGCTCTCCTGGGAGTGTTCAACTTTCTCTCAAGCACATCAAGAAAGGAAAGGTGATTTTTTTTAGATCTTAAGTTTCCAAAACAAGAAGTAGATTTCCCATTTTTTTTTCTAAACAGGGGGGGAGTGTTCCGATTTGAAAGCTCAGTGCAGCCCTGCCCATAATCCAGCCAGTGGGATGTGAAGAGCGTCGTGACCATCCACGATAGAAACAATAATAATTTTGTGCGTTAAATCGAGTCCATTCTGACTCGCCGTGTCCCTCCCCAGGGTCTTCTAAGAGTAGAAACTACCCTGAAGTAGTTAAGCGGCTCCTCCTTCAGGGGGGCGCTCTGAGACCAGTGTGTGTCCAAGGCAGGGCATGTGACCCCCACCATCACCAACCACATGCCCCACTCCGGTCGGGGGCTCTCAGCTCCTCTCCTGGAAGAGGCACAATTCGAACTCCCAACTCCCGACCACCGCAGCCAGGTGCTCCAACCCACAGAGCTGCCCGGGCTCCTAAAGCAGGTACAGCAGCAGCAGCGGCGGCACACGAGCAGAACCACCCCACTGGAAAAGATAGCAAGGAAGAGCGAGCAAGCAGTGGAAAGAAAAAGAGGCCGTTGTTAGGGAACGTACAGCCACCTCTCCTCCCCTGCTCTCTGGAGTCCATCGCAAGTTCACTGTGCGGCGAGCCGGCGTGGATCCCAACAAGAACTCCACCAACCTCCTCAGCGGATCAGGTATAATCCATCTAGGCTCCTCTTGACACAAACCCAAGAGATCCAACCTCTCATATACAGAAGAGGGTAGTTTCTGGGGAACCAGGGAGCCAGGATTATGCCCTTTGAATGTACAAAAATGGTTCTCAAGTTGAAAAGTTCTTATGTTGAATCTGCATTTCCCATAGGAATGCATTGAAAACCATTTAATCCGTATCTGCTCTTTTCCGTCCATAGAAACTACTGTACGCCCTTTGAATGTACAAAAACGACAGGGAAAGAGAAAGCCGTTCCCGGAGGTAAAAGCCTCGCACCTCCAGTTGATTTCCAACCGTCAAGGAGTCTCTGCCATAAAAGGATGATGGGCCTTGTAGGCTGACATGCTGGAAGGGTTCTGGAGAAGTTGATCTGAGGACGTGAATGTTATTTTAATTGGTCCAAGTCACCAAATCCCAGAGGTTTCGCACAGAAAGGACTATTTCTTGCCCCATCCTTCCTTCAAAGGCGAAAAATAAAAAATAAACCCTCTCTAAATATTAATCAGTTTCCCACACCTGTTGGTGAAAATTATAAAACGCACTGTCTTAACCACTAATTAAAAAAGGCCAAACATTAAAAAAAACCTAAATCACTCCCCAAAAGTGGAGAATTAAAAAGATACATATCGTTGTTTAATCTGCTCACGCTCTAAAAAATCCAAGAATCATGGAGCCGGAAGGGGCCTCTCTAAGGCCATCTAGTCCAACCCTCTGCTCAAGGCAGGGATCCAAGCCAAAGTTTATCAGACAGAGAGCTGTCTAAGAATTGATCTGCAACAATTAAAAGGACAACTTCTAGAACCACGGTTAACCATTTTAACGTATCTGGACGACACCTGGATTTGTAACAACTTCCAAGTTTTAGGTTCCAGCGATACAGAAGGTGGATATACCGCTAACCTGATTTGGGCTTTGCATCGTTCTGTGTGAATGCGGTCTCTGGAAAGAAAAGCTTCATCATTCTCTCTGTGTTTCATCTCCCCATCCTGAGGCCCAACACAATCTGGCTCTCGTCCTATATATAACCTGCCATTTCCTAGGCTTCCGATCAAAAGTAGGATGTTCCTCCATCCATCTGGCCTTTTGTAAGCGGGCCAGATCCTCCAAAAAGGTTTCCACAGCAGGTGGAATGCATCTCCCCACCTACAAGAGGCATGATTTCAGCGTTACTGTAGTCTGCCGGCTGCTTTTCTATTTGCTGAAATAAAATTTCCTCCTCTCCTCCTTCCTGGGACACGGTTGATGCTCTTGTAAAGCCCCACTGCATTTCCATCAGAGACCGAGGTTGGAAAGCTGTGTCTTAAAAAAGAAAAGCTACACGACCCAGAATTTTGCAGCCTTCCTTGCTTGAGGATTCTGGGGACTGTAGTCCCAAAAAAATGGACATCTCCCCATATTGCTTGTGGAAACGAAAACTGAATATGTCCAAATAGCCATCTCAGTTTGGAAAAGTTTCTTGTTGCTGTTGATGCATCTCCGCTTCCGGGACTCACCCAGTCAGTTCAAAAAGCAGCTTCCAAGCTCTGACGGGAAGCCAAAACGGCTCCATCCATAAACAAATGGGAGGTTTGTTAAAAAGACGCAGGTGTGACCTGGGGGAATACATGCTCCTGCACAACTGTATGAATCACCTCATGATAGTTGCTCAGCACTAGTGTGTTATGCTGGTCAGAGCAGGATCATCGTCCCTCACCTGACACCCTCAACTGTTCTGGAATACAAGCCTTGAGCACAGGGTTGGACTAGATGGCCTTATGAGGTCCCTTCCGGCTCCATGATTCTAAGGGCACAATTGAGCAGAGGGTTGGACTAGATGGCCTTACGAGGTCCCTTCCGGCCCCATGATTCTAAGGGCACGACTCTTGAACACCCGTCCTTCCGGTTGGGGGCAGATGGGCACCGAACCAGAACACGAGAAGGGAAACTTTGAGCCTTTTAGATGTCTTAGACTACAACTCCCATCATCCTTTACCATCTTGTCATGCGGGGAGGAGCTTCTGGGAAAACAGAGAATATATCTGGAATATGCAGAAAATGCCAGCAAATAAGACCAAAGTCAAAAATCTTGGCCAAAGGGGGGTGGGGGTGGGGGTGGCGAGAAGCATCACCTTCAAAACAGCCTAAACATTCACCCATATAAAAACCAGAATTTAATTCTCATACCACTTCATTAAGTGCTTTCATCTTCGGTTTATCTATGCTCTGGGTTTCAAACGCCTCCTGCAATTCCCAACCACCTTCCTCCTTCAGACAAGCCAAGAATTCGAATCATACTACAATCCTATAAAGCCTCAAAATCATTCCGCACATTTGTGTCTTTTGTGAAAACAGTCCCGGGGGGGGGGGAAGGTGGATGAAAAGAAGCCACTCATTGAACGCAAAATTTCTACCAATGACAGATATTTATAAATAAATGACCATGAAGATTAATAACAGAGGACCGAAGTGGATCCAGATCCTATGAGAACTTGAAGCAAAAAGGGCAACACCCAGCCAACCCCCCCCCAAAAAAAACAGAATGCAGAAAACTGCTGATGCAAATGTGAACAGCAGCAATTATTTGTTTTGATGCTCAAATGCCTTCCCATCCATGTTGATGGCGGCGCAGCTAGGAGACTCAGGCGGAAGACCCCACTGAGTGACCTTTGGTGGATCCCAACCTGGTCTACCTCGGAGGGTTGTTGGTCTCAAGTGGGGGGGGGGACAGGAGCCGCTCTGAGCTTGCTGGAGGAAAAGAGGAGCCCGAGATGGAGCAAACAATTAAAAACCCTCCCGCCCCAGCCCTTGAGGCTCCAGGAGAGTAAAAGGAGATCCTTCCAGCCCAGAAAAATGGGAAAACTGCAGATCCCTTTCCCTTGGCTGACCCTTCTTGGACAGGGGCCTACCTCACAGGGGTGGTGCTGAGGATAAGGCATAGAGCAGGAGAGCTCCTTGAGGCCATTGGAAGAAATGTGGCATCTATTAAGTAAATCAGAAATGAATGAAACCTACCTTCACAGATCCTGCCTTAACCTTGAGGCTCGGGGCAAGCTGGAAGGGGTGGGTGGCTAGTCCTTAGTGGGCTGGATCTGGACTCCAGAGGCCCAGATTCAAATCCTCCCCTTGAAATGGGTGACCTTGAACAGATTTCATCTCTCTCTCTCTCTCTTCCCTCCTCTGCCTGGCTGACCTCACAGGGCTGTTGTGAGGATGCTGGACAGCCGAGGAGGGGGAGAGTGATGGATGGAGGGTGCCTCTCCCACTCCTTGGGAAAGCGGCCTCCCAAGGTCTCCAAGGCGTGGCCAGATCCCAAGGACCAGCGAGCCGCCTTTGGGGCAAGCCGGCCTACCTCGCAGGGCCCTGGCGAAGGTGATACAAAGGGGGGGAGAGAAAGGAAGGAGCTGAGGATGAAAGGAAGCAAGGATGGAGACGAGGAGGGGCAGGAGGGAGAGAGGGAGGAAGGCTGGGCAGGGCGTCAAAGCTCAGCCCCAGCGCTCACCTGTCCCGCTGTGGGCGACCAGCTCCGGGTCCCGATCCTCTTCCTCTTCCTCCAATTCCTCCTCTTCCTCCTGCGGGGCAGGTGAGGCGGAGGAGGGCCCGATGGTGGGGGTGGCCGAGGTCTCCTCAGGCAAGGCGGCGGCGGCGGTGGCCAAGGGGGCTTCGGGTCCGGGGGGGCTCCGGCCTTCGGGAGGGGGGGCCCCCGTGGGCCCGGCGGGCGCCTCCTCCTCCTCCTCCTCGCCCCCGACGCCCCTTCTCTGGGCCAAGGCCCCCTCCTCTTTCTTCTCCTCGTCGCCCGGCGCGGGGGTGGCGGTGGGGG